AGTCTTTTTAAGAGGAAACATTACTTCACTACTGTAAATGAAAAACAAGTGATAACATTCATAAAATTATAGGACTAATGTGGTAGTTCTACTTTTTTGTAATACGTATTGAAATAAATATTATGTGAAAATCAAAAGTTTACCCCAGTGCCACCAGTGGCATATACGCCACACTTTGGGGAAAATGAGAAGAGCATTGTTTTAATTTAATTTAAAGAAAGCATTAAGGACTGGACTGTAAACATTAATTTCAAAGACTCCTAAGTTACTCATGTTTAGGATGGCCTAGCCATTGGGACAATAATATCCTCACCCACACAACCAACCACCTGGGGGCTGTCATCTAAAATATAACATGTGCCTAAAATTATCCCTGATATAAAAGATTTAGGAGTAATAAGCTTATATTAATGACTTTTTTCTATATGACAATTCTAATTAATTCACATCTCATTCTCACCTTAGCTTTAGATAATAAGCCCCGTAAATTGAGTCGAACTGAAGAAAGCACTTGAACAGCTTCTTGGGGACTGGGTTTGTTTTTACTGCATTTTATAGCCACTGGAAGATAAACATGGGGGAAACATCCATTAAAAACTGGTAACGATAATTTATAGCTGCAAAAGTCAGTTATTTAATTAGAATTTTATAGTAACAAACTGCAGAAATATTTTTACCTGGAAAGTTTTTATATTTTTGAAAAAGGATAATTATGTGCACATCTCTTCCCTTTATTCTTCTTTAAGAAAGATAATTTACTGCTAAGGGGAATTTTGAGGAAAACAGGTGATTTTTGGTGAGTTACAGATCATTGGGAAGAGACCATAAACAACTGTACACATGTGCACAGACTAAAGAAGTTAGGCAAGGAGACTAAATGTTATTGAAAACAAGGTACCTACAAAGAAAAAAAACAGATGCAGCATGTCTTAGTGTGGCATTTTCTAGGATACAAAGTCCCTACTGGGGACTTCAAGCATTTACAGCACCACTCTGGAAGAATAGATACCAACAATCCACATGTCTTCCTTTAGGGAATGTGACCACAATTAGGCTCTTGAGTTCCCGAGTGATGCCTGGCATCAGCAGGGAATGGGAGAGTGAAGTCACTCATCCACTACTGCCTCTACAACTCTGCCTCTAGCATTCTGGGGAACTCTTTTTCCTAAAACTTGATATTATGAAGAAGGCATATTCCTTACTGGTAGAAGGCCCAACTATTAATGCTTTATAAGAACAAATGAAGAACTTTGTACCAATATAATGACTGATATTTCTCCATTGATTTGTTCTTGGTTTTGTCCTCCTAAATTACACTTACTAAATTCAAACAGACCAATAACCAGATCCCATTTTAAAACTACACTAAACAGTGCAAGGATTAAAGTCACTTCATACCCTAGATTGTAGATCAGGAATGAAAAATATATTTCTTTTTGCATGGAAACTCTAACCAACTGGTAGAGACAAAATAGAGTTCTGTCATTAATTGTTAAATAATATCTTCCATGGCCAGCAAGAACTAGGTTTGGCATTCCTATTTCAGAATAGTAATTAGACTTTGATATTTTTCAGCTAAGAGTTGAAAGGATGCATGGTAATTAGCAATTTTAATCCCATTTTCAAAAGGCACAGTTAACCCACAGATAGCAAGGATTATGACGTCTGTTTCTTAGCATAATAGAAAGTTGTAACAACCATGGCAGAGGTATTTGAGCTGTTTAATACCTAACAGCTTATATCAGAAACAGCTGTGATTCTTTTTTTAATCCTTTATTTTCAATCTGAGAAAAACAAAAATAGAGCAAAAAGACAAGCACATACTCTATTAGCTTCCCTCCTTAATCCCATTTCTAAAAGGCATTACATACTGATACAGATAGAGAAGGAGAAAAGGGGGTGGGGGAGAGAGAGAAATAACCTGCTGCTTCAAATCATCAGAAAATCCAAGACAGCAGTAGCAGTGCCTCCTCCATGCTGACTATAGTACAATGCATACATAATATTTTAAAAGTTCCTGGATGGCAAAGAACAAAAAGCACTTTAGCCTACACTTTCCAAGAAAATAAAACAGCAGAAACTGTAAATGAATACCCTCCAGACAATAAAAATGGGCACACAATGACAACATTGTTATAGGTAGGTCTCAAATACTATGTCAAGATTGCAGTATCTTATCAAGCTTCCTGAAGTACCTGGCTACTCTTAACAATACCAACTCAAGGAGTAAACCATGTGGAGATTTAACAAAATGTTACACAGTCATGAGTTGCTTGATGATGGGGATGTGTTCTGAGAAATGGGTTGTTAGGAGATCTCCTGTACCTATTGTGGGAACGTCACAGGCTGTACACAACCCTACGGCACACCTAGGCTATATGGTATAGCCTACTGCTCCTAGCATACAAACCTGTACAGCATGTGACTGTACTGAATACTGTAGGCAATTGTAACACAATTTGGTAAGTAACACACAGTGGTTTTTGTGCATCTAGACATATCTAAACATAGAAAAGGTACAGTAAAAACATGGTATTATAATCTCATGGGTCCACTGTCATATATGTGGTCCATTGTCAACCAAAAGGTTATTATGCAGTGCATGACTTCATTTCCTTTTCAGAATTGGGTGGGGTGGAGCAACAGTGTTGGGAAGAAAGACAAAAAAGAGACTAAAATAACGGAGAAACCCAGCTCATTCTTTGATTGAGCACTGGTGTATAAAAGCAACAAAGATTAAGATTTATTTTTGTAAATCTAAAATATCATTAGAGACCATCCTCCTAAGTATGGCAAGAATGGAAAAACAAACCCCACAAGTACTCACTATTAAGTTGGAACTAAATGATCAGCACTCATGTGTACATACGGTAGTAAAATTCAATGGAAATCAAGCACGTGGGAGGGGAGAGGAGGGTATGGGTAAATTTACACCTAACGGGTACAATGCACACTATCTGTGTGATGGACACATTTATAACTTTGACTCAAACTGTACAAAAGTAATTCATGTAACCAAAATGTTTATATCCCTGTAATATTCTGAAATTAAAAAAAAAAAAGAAACTAAAGCTGGGCATCCACTCAAATATGCTTATGATGTTGTAGGAACACCAACACATAATTTATCAAAGTCAAAGGAGAACTTAATAGACACTTGTTTTTCTCCAAGTATTGCTCAGGTGCCAATAATAATTTAAAATCAACTTTAAGATGCAAAATAAAGATTTTTCCTAGAGTATTTCTTTAACGTGCATATTTATATTTGACAGGTTTAATTCCATCACTTGGTGATTACAGAAAACATGGTTTTGACTGTTGTAGAGCCAGTGGTTCACAGAAATGTTTAGAGTTGGCAAGTTAAAGTAGATAAGGTAAAGTCTTCAAAGTAAATCCCACTCTGCTAATTATGTACATAATACACCTTAGTGTGGGTTTCCCCAAACATAATACTATATCCACAAAGGCCAAAGGCATAAGGCTTGGATCCCATCTGAGCCCACCCACCATGAGGTCAGGATAAGCCACATGAATTGTAGCCACCCCTAAGACATCCTTCCCCTGATCTATTAGCAATTATCTCAAACTGTTTCACACTGAATTTCAGCTGTGCAGAGTTCAGCCGCTTCTACCTGATCTGCCAAGGGCTAGGTGGCCCAGCAAATTGGCTATTTATATACTTTTGGCCAAAAACATCAAAGGCCCTAAGTAGAATTATTAACTACCAAGCCAATTTCTAAATTGTTTGAATGTTTTGTGACTTCTTTATAGGCAAGTTAAACTTCATCCTTGTTCTTCATTTCTCTCTTTTAGCTTTGAGTACTTTATTATATAGCCCAGCTCCTCTGCTTTGAAAGGGACAGGGTAGAGGTGAGAGGGTAAGAAATTAACATTATGTTACAAATCAACATACGTAAAATACTGCCAAGTGTTGAAATGTTTTCATTTATTCTTCATAACAACCACACGTAGGTATTATCCTCATTTCACTGATGAGGAAACTAAGGCTCAGAGAACTTAAGTGACCTACCCAAAGTCACCCAGCAAGCATGTGATAGAGCTGGTCCTAGAGCTTAGGTCTCGCTGAGCCCAAAGCTTTGTCTGCCCTTTTCACTCTTCCTGGTTGGCTCCCTATTAGCTGAAACTATTAGTGGCAGGAAAAGATTAGGCAGGGAAGTAGAAGGAGGACTTTGGGATAGGGTCACAGTCCCTGTGATTCAGCTCTTACCATTGGGGCTTCATTATTTTATAGGAACTTAAATATAAAATATATTTTTATTTGAATATGGGCATCACATACCCATATTCAAATATAAATATAAAAATGCATTACTATTATAATTAACTGGTATGTTTTCCATTAATGCAAGTAATTAAAAGCAGTCTTTATCTGGACTATATTTACTCAACAGGTAAAACAATTTTATATGTCAGGTCACCCCTCCCCTCAAATAATACCCTCTAAGTTTCCCAAAGATAAAGATTAGATTCTATTTTATATTTCTTTTGTACATGCTGTAGCTCTTTGTATACTGCTATGTACTCTGGAGATCTATGCATTTTTATGAATATTTTTATTTATAAAGGAAGAATATGAGTCAAGGAAAAATTAACAGATTTCCTTAGTACTACATAATCAACACAAACTGACTCTGTATGGAGTGAAGGTTATATGCAGTTGTAAAGGTATCTCACATCTCTAAAAAGGTTTCTAATTCCTGTCACTTACTCAAACAGTACTTAAGCCTCTATCCTGTTTCTTCTTATTGTTCCAAACTGCCTACTATAGAGTGGTCATTCTATAAATGTTTCCTGAATTAAATACAACAATTTCAATACAATGAAATAATCTGATATTAATTATAATGGAACTTTACTTTTGACTAATACTTTTTTTATCAGTAAAAAATACATTAAAATATCCTATGGATATCAAATGTTACATCAAATACCATGTGCAAGTCCTAAGGCTCTTTGAACAATCTCCTTAAATGATGTAATGTCTTTCTCCCAACAACTGGACTGTGTGTCACACTTGTATGCCTTCGAGAGACACTGGAATGCCTGAGGAAAGAGAAAGAACAATAGTAGAATAACAAGTAGAAATTACATTTCAAATTCTGTTTCCCGGAAGTCATATGGAACTAATTCCAACTAGAAAAACCAGCACCTGTGTTGGACAGCACAGTCTCTATTATTGTCATTAAAGAAGAGATGCACACCCAATAGCAACAGGCAATTACAAGAAATCAAATGGATGTATCTGGATAGAGACACTTCTCTATGACCAGAAGATTATAAAGCCCAGGTCTCGAGATCTCTAAGAAGTGTACAGATTTCCTCAGCATTTGTAGTCACCAGCTTAAGAAACCCATCTAGAGAATGAGGCGTGAACTTGGTTAAAACTATGGAATTGCTGGTAGGTGTGTAATTTCACAGAAGTTTAAAGCACTCTCTTTCAAATCCTTGAGAAGTCAGAGATGAGAGAATTCTTAATTGCACATATTCAAGAGCGTACATAATTCAAGAAGAAAAGGACAGAAAGGAGGAAGAGTGCGTGCGTGCATGTGTGCAGGTGATGTGTTCCTTGGGCTGACAAGGCAATGGTGGAAGCCAGCTGTGCGGGCTGAGGGAGGAGAGAACAGCTGAGAAGTGCACAGATTAGCTGGACCGTGGCTAATTCCAAACCCACACAGGGAGTACATTTGATTTGTTGTGGATGTTTTGAAAAGAAACATAAAACAATTATTCCAACCTGGGAAACTCTGGGGGCTCCTTTAAGTTCTAAGATAAGAGGCTAAAGGCACAATGCGAGTGTAACTGGTGTTCTACTGTACTTGTGAGAACAGGCAGGGCAACCTTGTAAAGGATTATATGTTTCGACTTTAAAAGTTCTTCTTCCATATCCTCATGTAGGTCCTTTTTCTTTTTCCTTTTTGTCGTCCCCGTCTCAGATCTAAACACTCTGCCCAATCTACCTTAGTCTTTAGCAATGAGCCCGCAGAAAGGGGGACAGAGTAATAAAAAGAGCCAGCTGTTTGCTGCAGATCCAGGAGGGGTAGCAAGTCCAAGAGACTCTTTTGCAGGAAACAGAGAACAACTGTATAAGAAAAATTCATGGAAAGTAAAAAGATGAATGCTACAAGTCTTAACTTGCTCACAATTCAAAGTGCTTATGTTAAAGACTTTGTATGAATCAAAGCTGAACTTGAGCATACTAATCCTATCTTTCAGATTTATTAGACTCTTCCTCCACCCACCAAAAAAGAAGATCTGCTACACACTTGCCAGAACAAACGCCCAGGGCCCAGGAGGATTGAAGGACCTACCTTTTCATTTTCTTCAGCCCTTTCACTTTGCCCATTTCCATATACTTGGGCATATAGCCTCCAGATTTCTCCATCATTTGTCACTCTTGAAGTTACTCTGCCAAATAACTCCTGCAGCTTTCCTTTAAGGCTGGTTGCAACATCTCCACTTCTATCAGTCATCCCATCAATCACCGCCCTGACCAGAATTTTAAGGACCTTAAAAATGCACAGAACAAACTGGTAAGATAGAAACCACCAAACAATAACAAAAAACAAAGAGCTACCCTCACTCTCACCAATGACAATGACAATGAAAAACCTTGTGAAACCTGTTAGAATATCACCCTTACACTTTTAAAGAATAAAATAAGAGTGAGGCCACCCTGAATGCTCTCTAGAATCTCACGCTGACTACCTGTCTGGAAGTCCCTTCTCAAGCCTGGGAGGGCTCTTCTACACGGCCCCATACTCGGCGCTTGTCTCTTCCCACTTGGAGCATTCCCTCTGAATGACTGACCAGATCCACAACTATACCTTCAAATATATTACCGAGTCAGCTCTGCTAGTGTCTGTGCAGCTCTAGCCAGACTCCGGAGTTCCAGGACTACACCTCAACTACACCTCAACATCTACAGGGCAGGTCCCATCAACATCTTGCACCCCATCTATCCAAGAGTTAAACATAGATCTCAAATCCCTCTTCCTCCTGTGAGCCTAGCTACACAGTTCCCAGAGCACCTACCTAGATTTTCTTCCCTCCCATTTCTGCCACATCTAACTGATTTGATTCAACATTCCTCAAGAGTCCTAAGTACAGCTTCTCCTACCTTAGTTTTGGCCTCATTAACTTCCATCTGGACTGCTCTTATAACATCCTAACTCTACTTAAAGAGGCCCTGGCCCCTCCTAATTACTGAATGATAAACTGCTAATGTGTTGGCATTAGACATGTGAGGTACCTAGGAAGTATCTCTTCTCTTTCCAACAAGCCCAGGTCTGCTCACCACTTAGCAACTTCTTGGCTATCTTGCTATCAGTTAGTCTTTGCACATTCTATCCCAGATGCTTTGAATGCTGATAGATGGGTTAAACTGAGCCCCACAGCAGGTTATAATATAACAAGGCACATCTATCATATCTACATTAGGCTGTGTATCTCAAGGCAGCTCCCTGGAAGCATAGAAAGTGCACACTCAATCTTCCACTCCTCTGTTGAGGGGACAGCAAAAGAACCAGCTTGAGAAGAGTACTCGAGGACCCTGCTGGTCAGTGTGGTCTGTGGACCGACAGTACTGGTATCACCTGGAAGCCTGTTAGAAATGCAGAATCCTGGACAGAGATGCTGATCCATCTTGGACCAAGATTCTGCATTTCTAATGAACTCCCAGGTGATGCTGATGTTGATTGTCTGCAGAGCACACTTCGAAGAGCAAGGTTCAAAGAGACAGGTGCCCACATCTTTATTTTTACCCTGAACTTTAGGGAGAGGACCACATTTCATCATCTTGTATCACCAGTGTTTAATATAGTGCCTGGCACACAGCACTGACTCAATAAATACTTGTGCCTGAAAGAAAGACTGAATGCATACACCTCTTACAAAGCGCAGCTAAGAGAAATGCAACCAGTTGCCACCTTGCTCTGTCTCCTTCACAGAACATTCTGATCTAAGCGTGAGATGTGGCTGGGGCATTGAGGCTCTTCTGGAATGTGAATGCTTTCAGGAATGTGAGCTCAGACTCATGGTCCTAATTATATACAGTGATAAAAGTGGACAGGAGAACATTCAATTGTGCTTTTTCTTTCTTGTTTGGAAAAAGCACATAATCTCTGCTGGTAAAGTCGCATTACAATCCCACACACGTAGTTTTACATCTGAAAGTTAACAAAATTCATATTACAATCCCACTGGTGGTTTTAAATCTGAAAGTAACAACGCAGAAGAAACAGTATGAATGTGCACTAAGCATTTCAAGGATTAACATATTTTGAAAGGGATGATTTATTAAAACAGTTACTAACACGAACAAATAAAATATACTAAATGAGTACTACTTTACTTCTGGGACCTCACAGTGGGCCCAACATCCCATCCCCTCACTTTAGCCTACTGAAGAGACAATGGGGGAATAAATTAAAGATAAAAATAGTTGCAGTGCTGGTGTTTGAGATGGAAAAATTTGTTGAAGTGTGTGCCTTGTGTGTGTGTGTGTTTGGGGAATATGTGAGAAGGGAAGGGAACTGTAGGCAGAGCAGATACTGAAGACCTCTACCCAATTCATATGCAGATATCACAAGAAAAGAGTGGGGTGGGGGAGGTAATAACCAATTTGTTTCATACTCCCCACTGCATGTTCAATTGCCAGTTGAGTCTAGAGCTGTGAGTTCTATATTGGAAGAATGGATAATGCGAGCCATTCATGACCATGACAGATATTGACTAAAGAGACTATTTTAGGCAAGAATAAAGCTGAGGATAGAATCTTAAGGAACACAACATTTAAGAGGGGGCAACTGAGTAGCACCCACTAATGAGACTAAAAAGGAGTGGCTGGAAAGGTAGGAGAAAGTGATGTCATGAAAACCAAGGAAGGAGAAAGTTATAAGGAAAGTATACCTACAAAAGATTAGGACTGGAAGATTCCACTGGATTTGGCAATCAAAAGCTTTAGTGACTGTATCCAAAACCAAAGCCGGAACAAGGAGGGCAGGAGAGATCACGATTTTAGATGTGAAGTTTACAAAGAGAGAAACATGAAAACCACGACAATCATGAACCTCATGAAAAACGAAGAGCAAAACAAAACAATACAAAACCCATCCTCATAGTGTCCTGTAATACCCATTTTGAATACCATTTGCAACAGACATATAATGTTAATAGAGAATATTCACTTAACCAAAAATTTTAATGTAAATACATTGGGAAGATAAGAAAGGGATGCAGTGTTAGTGCTGGTATAAGAGAGTTAAGTTCTCATTTACTATGACAGGAAGTCAACAGATAAGGCCCAATTCTGGATAATAAAAAATAGCAGTACTATGTAACTATTAATATGAAATACAGAAATGTGCAAATAGCAGAAGAAATACTAAAGGGTTTCTCCCTCTTGGGAAGAAGGATCTTGAAGAGTAGGAAGGGCTATGCCTTCCCCTGGGAAGCTGGAATTTGTTATTAATATATATTTTGTAATAAGACTTTTACTACTATTTAACTTGTAAAACTACAT